TGTGTGTGTGTGTGTGTGTGTGTGTGTGTGTGTGTGTGTGTGTGGTTAAGGGGGCTGTTTCTCTGTAGCACAGCCATCAAGGTCAGCAAAGGATAGGAGAAAAATATTTGTTGCTGACAACCAGCAATCACTTATGGGTCCATGATTTTCTGTCTCAGCCCCAGCGGTAAATAAAAGTGCCATTAGACATTTTTGTCAGCTGGCTATTGTCTCCAGGGGCATCTACACTAGTGGCAGATATCCAAAGTGTAACACACACAGGGCACTTTAATGTGCAGTAACCTATTTACTGCACATTAAAGTGGCACATTAAAAAACATGCTATTATACTAATGTGCAGTAAAATAGGCTACTGTGCATTAAGTGTCACCTAAAAAGCGTGAGCTTGTGCTACTGTGCATTAGCGCAGCCTAATGCACATTAAGTTAGTACCTGACATTGGAGATACTAAATTTAATGCACATTAGGAAAAGTACATTAATGTACATGTAGATGCACCCCCTGAGTAGTTCTCTTTATTTACTTCCCACATATCCCTTGACTCAAGCCCCAAATCACTTGCTAACATGAATATGGATCTTGAAATGGCCTTCTGGGCCATCAGGTCCAGTCTTCTGCATTCATAAACTACCTTTAATCAAAGATAACCCCTAAATTACCACTTTGAACTCTTATCCACAACTAGAAGGAACACTTTCCTAAACACCAAGAATGAATACCAAAAGGAAGGAGGGATAAGAGCAGTGCCGCTACAACAACAGGGAAGTAATTAGTTAATGTATGCTTATAAGATCCTAGGAAAAGGACTGTGTCCCATACCACAGAGGAAGGCAAAAAAACCCCCACAATCTGCACCAGTTTGAGCCAGGGGAAAACTTTCTTCTTGACTTCAAGCTTGGTAAATAGTATGGTCCCTGAGTGAAAGACCAAGGACCTCTAGGTTTCCAGTACTAGCAGGAGCATTAGCATGCTTCAAACAAAAACTTCAAGACTTAGCTATGGCCAATGCCCTAATAGCTGGGTATATGCACTAATGAAGCTGTGCTTTTAACTGTGTTGGTAGAAGGAAATGTTCAGACAGTCAAGACTCATGTTTCCATCATAGCTTCTTAAAAGTTGTCACTTTGATGTTCCCATACATTAGTTATGTCATATTTCTGGGTGCAGGTGTTATGTTTTTTACAAATATGTATAAAGGTACATTTTTGTCTCCGTTTAACCTTCAGTTTTTTCTGTTTTCAAATGTTCTTCATGACCACTGTGAATTTCTCAGCATAATGTCAGTTACAGCTCCTGGTAATTAATAAATGTTAGGTTTTTCTTCATCTGATATCAAATGTATGTTCTGGTCATACAAGTACTTTCTTTAAAACCCACAGACAAGGAATTTTTAACAGGGGATTTTGTAAGAAATCGCATATGAACTCTGCTACTATTTCAAAAGACAATACAAGGATAAACTGACTGCTTGCACTGAAGTGTTCTTTCATGTCACTTGTGAACCTTTTAGGGTTCAATTAATTTAGAGAAACTTAGGCTACACTGTGCTTTACCTTTACCTTGGATAAATGGAGGACACATTTTATAACCATTTAATTAGTTTAGAAATTTTTTGTAGCCTGCATGAGAATTGGCTTGTTAAGATGTTGAAACTTATGCCTGGGGTTCTGTAAACCAAAATGCAGCTTTCTGTTTGAATGTGAAGCTCTGAATATAAATTTCTTGCTTCAGATGCTTTCAGATGTCAAAGTTTAGGCCCAAACATCAGCTATACTTCTGAATTTTGCAATATGTATGAAATTAAAACTGCCACATTTTAAATAATGTATTCAAATCATAGGTATTTACAGTAAGAATTATTAATTGATGTATGCCAGATTATATAACTTCAGGTTTTCATTAGGACAGTGATCTTTTGGACCGTCGGAAACACTGCTTTGGTGTCCAATCTGAATCTGGAGAAGACCTCTACTTTTCTGTGGAATTAGAGTCTGACCTAACACTATGGGAAAAAGCCTTCCAAACAGCAACTTTTTTAGAAGTTGAACGGATACAGGTGAGACATCTTCCATGATGTTTTGGTACATTGTTATGTTATATTTCATGATGGCAATTGATCAGAAAAAACACCAAATGAGAGAGAATTGTCTGGCCTTCTACTGGGTAATTCATGTTCTTACTATTGTTTCTATGTAGTGTCAAAATTTTTCCTGGTGTTTTGATGATTTGTCTGTCTGTTATTTTTTCCTGTATTGTTCATCTCACTTTTATTTAAACACAATAGCACTGTTTCTTTCCCCACAGGGTTATGAACTAAAGTCTTCAAAAAACACTCATGACCTCAAATGATAGCCTTTGATTTTTATAGGTAATTACAGAATATTATTAGACAATACAAAAAATGATAATAAAAGGAAGGTGAAGAAAAGGGAAAAAAGAAGAATGTGGGAAAAATGTATTAAACAACTGGGATAAAAGAGTAATATGAACAGCACTATGATGCAATCAGAGTACATAAAGATCTCAATTCTGCCCTCACCTACAAGGATTAAATTCTCATTACAGTTGATGGGAATAGCACCAAAATAAGTAGCTTAAAATGTTTTATTTTCCACACAGTTACTGTTGTTCAACTTCTTGTTAATTTTCGGATGGCAGAGCACAAATAGCTAACACTAAAGTAGACATTTGTAGTGGCTTATTATGGCTAGTATTATTAATTTTTGAGAACTATCATTTTACTGAAAAATTAATGGGTCAATATGTAAGTGATAGTTTGTGTTAAAATAGCAAAAAAAATGTCAAAGTGTTTTTGTTTCACCTATTAATAGCTATTTTACTGATCTAATTATCAGGAAAAAATCTTTTAGGGACATCTTTTCAATAAATGTCATTATGAGTTTTCATGCAGCTGTATCTAGAAAAACTCCTATTTCCGAGTAAGTAGAGTATCTGGCATCTACATGTTAGATGCTTATGTTGGATACAAATGCTACTTTGTGCTCAAGCCTGAGTTTCTGTGCATGTGTCTTTTGTGTTCTTTGAACATCTGCTCTGATTGTTTAAATATATTAAAACTCAAAGCCAACATCACAACTGGGATAATATGAGTTTATATCCTGATTCCTTTATAACAAAATAACTATCACCAAAAGCAAAATGTTTTTATTTTCAATATACATAGTTTTTTCCATAATAGTAAGCTCAGAAATGGCAATTTTAAGCTTGAAAATATTATATGTTGTTTCCTTTTATAGTAATATTTCCTGTCTTTTGCCTTTGAGTGTTAGGCTGAAAACAATATATGTGCAGATTCACTCTTTAAACACAACAACAAACAATTCCCCTGACTGGTAAATATTTGACATGACTCTTCCTTCTCCTGGCATTGACTGCCGCATTATTTATAAGCAAAGTATTAGGCCTTCAACAGAAGAAAATAAACAAAGGTCTGTAATTATCATTAGTACTCAGGATACTTCATCTTTAGCCATTTTCTAAATGGACACCTGCTGTGCCTCTCCTGATTGTTGGCTTTTCCTCTTAGGTTTTAAAGTTGAAATTTATTCAATATGTCCCCATTTCCCCAGCAATATCTCCTTTAATACACTTATTCCCACAGCACCCCCACAAAGATAAGC